GGTGCGTGTCAACGCGATCACGATGAAACGCGCCGTAGCGGCAGGAGCTGACGTGTACGCGGTCGACATTCGGGAAGCCGAGGCAGCAGACAAAGGAGGGGATTTACAAAAATTGTTGGCCGACGTACCGAGTGACCTGGCAGCACTGTTGAAGCAGTACAGCGACATTTTCCCGGACGATTTACCGACGGGACTGCCACCTCAGCGACCGCACGACCACAGGATAGAGTTAGAACCGGGGGCACAGCCAACAGTACCGCGACAGTTCCGACTGACCCAACCCGAACTGGACGAATTGAGGAAGCAGCTCGATTACCTGCTCGAGAAGGAATTCATTCGCCCTAGTTCGTCGCCCTTCGCAGCACCGATACTGTTCACACCGAAAAAAGACGGGGGATTTCGCATGTGCATAGATTACAGAGCACTAAACAGGGCTACCATCAAATCCCGTTACCCCATCCCGCGAGCCGACGAACTGATCGACCAACTGCGCACAGCCCGGGTTTTCTCGAAAATCGACCTCCGAGGGGGTTACCACCAGATTCGCATCAATCCGCTCGACTGCCCTAAGACCGCATTTCGCACACGCTACGGATCCTTCGAATACACCGTCATGCCTTTCGGACTGACCAACGCCCCCGCCACTTTTCAAATGACCATGAACGAAGCTTTCCGCCCGCTCTTAGATAAGTGCGTCATAGTATATCTGGACGACATACTGATTTACAGCCCTGAAAGAGCACGGCACTTACAGGACATCGAAGCAGTTTTTAAAATACTGAGTGAGAACCGCCTACTGACGAAAGGATCTAAGTGTGAGTTTTTACAGGACCGCCTGGAGTTTTTGGGACACGTTATTTCAGCTGCAGGAGTGGAAATAGACCCGAAGAAAATTGCGACGATTCAAGCATTGCACGCGCCGACCAACTTGACCGAGTTGCAGAGTTTTTTGGGGTTCGTCAACTACGTGCGCCGGTTCGTCCCCGACATGGCGAAGCTGACTGCCCCGCTGACAGACCTGCTGAGTAAGGGGGTTGAGTACACATGGGGGGAGAAAGAGCAAGCTGCCTTCTCGGCCCTCAAAAACATTTTGTGCTCACCGCGCGTGCTTCACATCGCAGATCCACACCGTCCGTTCGAGCTCATCACTGACGCAAGTGACATCGCTGTGGGAGCAGTACTGTTGCAGGATTTCGGGAACGGCCTCCAGCCAATCGCGTACGAGTCCCGCAAGCTGCACCCGCCCGAACGCAACTACCCGATACACGACCGTGAAATGTTGGCGATCGTGCACGCGTTCAAGGTTTGGCGGTGTTACCTGACCGGCGCCGACGTGACAGTACGGACAGACCACCGATCACTACAGTACCTACGCGCCCAACCAAATCTCAACCCGCGACAGATTCGCTGGTTGGACTACCTCGAGTCCAACTTCCACTACATGGTTACGTACAAGAAAGGCGCATCCAACATCGCCGACGCACTCACCCGCCCTACCGCCCAACTCCATGCCATCCTACTCGCTCAAACCAACCCGCTTTTAACAGGCCTATTCACCCACGGATACCGCACCGACCCATTTTTCACGACCGGAAATTCACAGCAACTGGCAGAAGCTAAAGGAGTTTATTACGTAAGAACAGGCACCAACCGCATCTGGGTACCCGCGTACTCACTACTGAAAGAGCTGCTACTGCAGGAGGCACACGACGGAATTACCTCGGGACATTTTGGGGTAGAAAAAACGCGACAGCAACTGCAGCGGTATTACTACTGGCCGGGGCTGTTGACCGACGTGCAGCAGCACGTGGGCTCGTGTCCCATGTGTCAGGTGATGAAGAGCTCGAGGAAGCGGAAGGCGGGTCAATTGCAGCCCATACCACCGCCCGAGCGCGCCTGGCAGCAGGTTACCATGGACTTCGTCACAGGGTTACCTTCGAACCTTGGGGGTAACGACGCGGTGATGGTCGTCGTTGACAGGTTGACGAAGATGGCACACTTCGCTGCGTGCAAAAAGTCGATCTCAGCCGAGGAGACCGCTCGCCTGTTCATCGCAACCGTGGTTCGCCTGCACGGGATACCAGCAGCGATAATCAGCGACAGGTACATAAAGTTCACCAGCAACTTCTGGAAGAACCTCTGGGAGCAGTTCGGGACATGGCTACAGTTCAGCTCGTCGTACCACCCCGAGACCGACGGTCAAACGGAGCGGACGAATCAGACGATGGAGCAGTTGATTCGTGCCACGTGCGACGACCCCACGACTTGGGAGCAGCAGCTGCCGCTGATCGAGTTCGCGTATAACAACGCCACGTCAGCGACGACACAGTAGTCCCCCTTCTACCTGAACTACGGGCAAAATCCTACAGTGCCCATGACGCCGAGTCCGGACAACCCAACACCACGTGCACAGCAATTCGCCGAAATTCTGCAAGCTGCCCGCACCAGAGCCGCTGAAGCAATTAAAAAAGCAAACGTCATCGCTAAGCGCAACGCTGACCGCCACCGCCGCCCAGTCACATACCAGTCAGGGGATTACGTCCTGCTCGACACGCAAAATCTGCGACTGCCCGACGTACCGAAACTTCGACCGCGCTACTGTGGCCCATTCCAAATCAGCCACATGATGACGCCGGTAACCGCGCACCTACTGTTACCGACCGACTGGTACATCAGCCCATCGTTCCACGTCAGCCTACTTCGCCCATACATCCCAACCACCAGCCAACTGCCTCGTCACCGCCCGCATTCCATGATTCGCCCTGCATCGGAGCCGATCATCGAGCCCAAAAAACTCCTGAGCCATCGGATTCGCCACCCCACGGGAATCAGGAGGATTGAATTCCTCGTTCGCTGGAAGGACCGCACGCCAACTGAAGATAGATGAGTGCCCCTGGCCAACATTGAAAACCACCCTGCCCTGCAAGTGTACCTGAGGAGCCGGGGATTCCGCGATATACACGCACTCGCGTAGCGGAGGGGGCTTCTTGAGGGGGGGGGTGGGGGGTAGTGTAAGGAATTTTCTCGGCATTCCTTACGGAGCCCGACTACATCGCGTACAGCAACAGCCGTTGTTCGCCCGTTACTACTAACGGGACTTCGCCAACTTCGCGCGCACTGTTTTGCCAAACCTCGCACTGCTGGCCCGGCCGTGTCGGCCTACGCTTCGGGACTAGCCCGAGCCTCGCTGCCAGCGTAGCACTAGCTAGCTCGCACACACCGCGTTACCGTTTGCATGTTTCGCGTATAAATGTTCGCTCATGTCTTCGCTCACATCTTTGTGCTCGTTTGACACCGTAGTGCAATTCTCGCTACTTCGATTCATTGCACCCGTAACACGTTTCCATGAACATCCATGGCGAAAATTATGCGGGAGCCAGTTCCAACCAATTAGAGAAGATTCTGGTCATCTCATCTGACATGAGAAACTTGTGCAACTGCCATCTCAGTTACGGGAGATTCACTTCGACTACAGTACTTCCATTCAATCATATGGAGGTGGGGATGTCGATCTGTGACAGTGGCGAGGTTGTGCCGTGTTCCTGCCCTGCCCACCAAGCCGATCTGTGACAGTAGCGAGGTTGTGCCCTGCAGTTGTTGTTCCTGCCCACCAAGCCTTTCACGGCCAGCCTAGTCGAGGGGGCTCGTAAATTGAGGGGTGGTCTGATGGTGAAACCGATCTTGGGATTTGTCGCTCTCGATCCCTATCGTATTGTTGACAGTAGACTCGAATATTCTAATTACGGGTAGGGAAAAATAGATTGGTTGTATTCACCAACCACCTGTTCAGGGGCGTGTGCAGCTGTCGGCATCAAAGTACTGTTTCAAGGGAACCCTCACTCGAAGTCTTGTTTCAGGCGACCCACGAGAGTTCACCACCAATCACCAACCATCTTGCGGCTCTTTCTGCGGGGTCATTGAGCTCGCGAAACCCCGAGATTGTCAGTCAGTGGTGCATTGACTCGACCCAGTTCTGTGCAATTCATCAGCGTTTCACAAATTGGTGATGGTGAAACTGACACCCCCTGTGGGTGCTTGTTGGCCTGGCTGGTCCTTCCCTTCCCCGTTCTCTGCGTACAGTATCTCCATTTGCTCTGCACTTCAGCATTCATGGCAGCTTCGCTTCCAGTCTCGCTTTCGCCTACACCTCCATCTCAGCTCTGCTGCTCTTCCTAGAACAGCCCCGTCAACCTGTGCAGTTCCGAGCGTCGGGTGAACGGGAATGGGTGTGCTAGATTGGACCCTAAACCAGAATCTAGGAAACACGCGTCCGCAAAACCATTAGGCCTTGTCGCTCTGATATTTTCCCAGCTGGTTAACATATCTGACGTCAGCTGACTAACTTATTCCAAGCTAGCGAGTCACCGCCGGAAGTTCCTGGTTGGCTGGAAATTGGCCTCGGGAGCAGGATGGCGGACACTCGTTTGCAGACGCTGTTGAGCACTTTGTGCGACAAAGGCGGGTGGACGTACGCCGTCTTTTGGCGCGCTCCCGAACTGCACTGCACGTCACAAGTGTAATGCCCCATCTCTTTAGTGTGTGTCCCTCCTTCGCCGACGCTGCTCCTCACAGGCGTTCCGGTCCTGGCAAGATAGCTTTTTTGCCCCTTGCTTCGACATTCGTTGTAGAAAGTAGTTCATTCGTCGCTCGGTCTTCTTCTCTCAGTGTCGTTCTGATGTAAAGGTTTCGCTGAATCTGTGAGACTCTCTGTCGCGGTAGCCAGGTCTCAGTCACCGACGGCAGCTGACGCGGGAACATTGCTTTCCAACGGATCCGTGCTTAGCAAAAAGGTGTTCTTAGACAGTGCCATAGTTAGGGTCTTCGATATCGAGCCGCGGTCCCCTTCCGAGGCGTTGTCACACCTGGCACTGTAGAAATTAATGGAGATATCTAGCTATAGTTGGTTGACTCGTGGTAATGCTCAGCGTTAACTTGTGAGACAGGCTTCTCTCTAGGGATGCTCCCGAATTCCGTCAACTCCATTGCAGATTCTTAACGACATGAGCGTACCGCTGGCCCTGGAGATAGTTTTCTTGCTATATTCCCTCTCTTTCGCGTCCGCCGTCTTCTGCTATAATGACAAAGGTCGACCCGAGTGGATGGATTTGAGTGACCCGACATTAGCTTCCTTCTCGCCATGGCGGCTTCCGCTACTCGTTAGTTACTTTCAGAACCGCTCCTGCGCGAGTTCACGAACGTGCTCGTTCCGCGAAATCTCCGCGAATCGGCTTTCTCCCCTATTTCCGTGCAAAAGCCATCGCCATCTAATGTTTTTCGTGCGATCATCCCCTTTCCGCCTCCATTCCCCATCATCGTCAATGCATATTCCTTGTCCTAGTTCAATCGTCCCCTTGCAATCTTCACTTTTCCTCCTTCCCCCACTCCCCCCTCCTCCTGCCCTCCTCTCCCCCCTTTCCCCATCTCCCCCTTCCCCCCATTCTGGTCTCCCCCACGCAGAGCGGCGCTGACTTGGAGGCGGCTGTTCGTGTGTGCATTCAGTTGCCTCCCACTACCGCCATCACGACTCCCCCCTATTCCTCCTCCCCTCTCTCCTCTCCCCCTTCTCCGCTCTCTTCTCCCCCTTCCCCCCTCTCCCCTCCCCACTCCCCCTGCCCCCCCCCACTCCCCCGTCGCCTCTCCCCTTTCCCACTCCCCCCTCCCCCCCTCATGCAGAGCTGCACTAGCGTGGGAGGGCGGCTACTTTCTGCTCACGAACGTGTTCGACCAGAAGCAGACGAGCGGCGCGTCGTTGACGGAGGCTGACGTGGCCCGCATGCTGGCGCTGCAGGAGGAATTCACCGCCATGCGCTCTCACCGCTACCCCTGCCACACCGGGTGAGTGAAAGAGGAAGCACCGCTATCCGTGCCATAGCGGGTGAGTGAGTGAGTGAGGGAGGGAGGGAGGGAGGGAGGGAGGGAGGGAGGGAGGGAGGGAGGGAGGGAGGGAGGGAGGGAGGGAGGGAGGGAGGGAGGGAGCACTGCTACCCATGTCCACTCCCGATGCCCTGTCCCGCTTCCCCCTCTCTGATCCCTCCCGAACACCCTTCTGCCTGCAGGCTGCTGGGCAGGGTGGCGATTACAGGGGGATACCGGCTGCTGTGTGAGCCGGTCAAGTCACGCGCCATCAGAGGCATGGGGCGCCTGCACCTGGTGAGACTGGCCGCGTGCTGTGATCATTAGATTTTTCTGGCAAGATTTATAAGGAGTGGGCGCCTATCTCGTAAGCATGTGTTTTTAATAAACCTTCGAATATGTTAAGGTGTTATGGCTTATGCGTTGCCTTTTATTATCTCGTAACCGTAACACGCACTCAGTCCTGTGTTACCATGCTATGCTGTGCCATGCCACACCATACCATACGGTGCCACACTATGCCATACCATGCCACACCATGCCATACCTCGTCATACAATGCCATTCCACGGTGGAGCAGGATGGCAGCAAGGACGAGGAGCAGCCCGAGGAGTGGGACAGGCAGTTCGCTGCAGGGGTCAAGGTGAGGGCCATCCTCACACACCATCCTCTCCCCTCTCCGTTTCTTTTCCCTTGATTTCATCAGTTGAAACTTCAATCCTCTCTTCAGATCCATCGCTGCTTCTTCCTTCCGCATCGCCTCATTCATCCTATGTAAACATCGTCTCCTTGTGGAAATGCCACCGCTCATTTCCACTCCACTCCATCCCACTCCTCTCCACGCCACCCCACTCCACTCCACTCCACTCCTCTCCACGCCATGCAGGTCATAGCGTTGATAGGGGTGCCACAGGGCGTGCTTCAGATAGCCGCCTGCACGCCGGTATGTCTCCAGTGCCCCACTGTGTGGTATCTTGCCAATCATACGCCTCCCATTCAGTCACGTCCCCACATCACACTCCTCCCCTCTGGTTTCGTTCCTGGTTCATTCTCATTCACCTCCCTCATTCCCTCCCCCATCCCCTCCCCCACTCTCTCCCCCAATCTTACCCCCACTCCCTCCCCCAATCTTACCCCCACTCCCTCCCCCAATCTTACCCCCACTCCCTCCCCCAATCTTACCCCTTTCCCCTTGGCACTTCATTTTTCGTGCTGCAGATCAAGCCCACCAATGAGATGATTGCAAATCTCCGAACCAAATTTGATGAGTTTCGGAAGCCCCCCCGAGTCACTCCCTTGTTAAACCTGCAAGCTGCCCTTCCAAACCAATCCATCCATCCAAACCAATCCATTCTTCCAAACCAATCCACACTTCCCCCAAATACCACCTCTGCTAACCCCGGCCGCCCAACTGCTCCTGGCCAATCACAGCCGAGCGCAGCCAAGTCGGCAAACATTTCACCAGAAGACCTTATACTCTTGAAAAAGCTCTTGGGCAGCTCTGGAGAAAATCTTACAGCTGCCCAGGCGTCTCAGCTCCTGGCCCAGCTTGCGCTGCTATCTGGAAAAACACCTGACGCACAGGAAACCCTAAGAGGGGGGCAAGACGGCATGAGAGTAGAGAGGCGAGAGTGTATACCTGGCTTGCAGCCTTCGCATCAACAGCAACAGCACCTTCTGCAGCAGCAGCAGCAGCAGCAGCAGCAGCAGCAGCAGCAGCAGCAGCAGCTGAAGCAGAAGCAGGAGCAGGAGCAGCAGCTGCTGCTGCAGCAGCAACAGCAGAAGCAGCAGCGCCTTCAGCAGCTACAGCAGCACTTTCAGCAGCAGGGACGGACGGCAAAGTGGGGTGAGGGGCGTAGGCAGGATGCCGCCAATGGTTCTGCTGCTGCTCCCGCTGCTGCTACAAATGGGCCGGAGCAGGGAAGGCCAAGGGAGGGCGGAACTGGGGCAGGCTTAGCAGGGGGAGGCGGATTCGGTTCCTTGGCAGGTGCTTTGCAGAGGGAGAATTGGGAAGCGGGGAACGGGATAGGGACCAGTGGGCCAAATGGGCCAAATGGGTCAAGTGGGCCAAGTAAGGCGGGGCTAGGGTTTGCAGGTAAGGCCATGGGGGAGAGAGGGAAGGATGTGTGCGGTGGTGGTGGTGATGACGAGGCTGCTGAGGAGGGCACAGGGGAGTGGCGGCCGGGGGAGAATGTGGGGTATAGTAATGATGGAGGGGGGGGTGTGTGGGGTATGGAGGGAGGGAGGGGGGCGTGTGAGGGAGGGGCAGGGCAGGACGTGTATGAGTTGTCGTCGGGGCCAGGAGGGACGGATATGTCGGTGTGTGGAGGGGAAGGTGACGCCGGGGAAGGAGGTGCTGCCAGTGGTGACACTGGTGGTGGTGGTTCTACCAACGGTGGTGCTATTGGTTATGGCTCTGGAGGGGCAGATGGGGCAGGGCCAGGAGCAGATGCAGGAGCAGGTGCAACAAGAGGGGCAGCAAGAGGGACAGCAGCGGCGCCAACACGTGTACTGACAGGGCTTGTAGCAGGGGCACTAGCTGGGGCACCTGCAGTTTCACCTGAAATGAGTCCCAAGCCTTGCTCCCCTGTCACTCTTCCCCCCCTTGCTCCCACCCGCCCTCGCATGTCCCCACCTGACGTGCCTTCTGCTCAGCATCTCAATGACTCTGCTCTCACTGCTACTGCTGCTGGTAATGCCGCTGCTGCCAGTGCTGCCAATGCTGTTGCTACTGCTAATGGCGCTGCAGCAGCCGCAACCCCTCCTCTCCACCCCACAGCCTCACCTGCAGACCTGGCTGAATTCGACGCTCTCTGTGTCACCCTAGACCACTCCCGCACCTTTCCCACAACAGGACAACTGCTGCCGCCCGGACTCACCCTCATCGCCACGTCCCCACCTCATGCCGCTTCCCCAGGCTCCCCGTCCGTGGCAGCACCCAACGCTCACACCCCTCCATTCAGTGCCAGTAACCACATCAGTAACACCAACCACTTAAGCAACGGTCAGCAGCAGCATCAGCACCAGCAGCACACGGGCGTGCACGCGACGGTGTCAGCAGACAAGCCCCCCTCCCACCGCCGGTCAAGGTCGCTCGCCCAGCAGCGCCGCCACACCTTCTCCAGCGCCGACCGCGCCGCCCTCGCCCGCCAGCTCTCCCCCTCCCGCGCCCTTCTAGGGGGCGGATTCCGCCTGGGGGGGGCGCTGGGAGGAGGCGGAGTAGGGGATGGGGGAGTGGGCGGGGGAGGCGGGGTAGGAGTGGGAGGCGGAACGGGGGCAGGAGGTGGAGTGGGAGGGGGTATGGGTGCATCTGGTCACAGCCATCCGTCTGCTGCTCTGAGCAGAATGGTATCAAGTCCTCTATTCAAACGGAGCCTCAGTTGCACGAGTCCCATCCAGGGCATGACCCGAGCAGCAGCCGCCCATGCTGCTGCCCACATGCGCCGCCACTCCTTCTCCACCTCGCCCTCCTCCTCCCCCTCCTCTTCCGCCAACACCACCTCTGCTGCCAGGGCGCTGCATAGAGTGGCGTCTCCCACTACTAGCTCTGGCGGGGGGGCCATGGGGGGAAGCATGGGGGGAAACATGGGGGGAGGGAGGCATGGGGGTTTCTCAAGCCGGCATGTGTCGAGTCTCTCGAATCCAGAGTTTCTGTCTGAGTTTCTGAATCTGTGCCCGTTTGGTGGGTCGCCGAGGGGGGTGGGCGCGGGGCGAGGGAGGGAGATGGCAGGAGGGGGAATAGGAGGGGGTATGGGAGGGGGAATGGGAGTGGGTATGGGAGGGGGGATAGGGGGGACAAGGTTGGGAGCAGGGATGGAAGGAGGGGGGGCATCTGCAGGGGCAGGGGGGACGCTAACAGGCGATGCAGCAATGCAAGCGAACCAGGGAGGGGTTGAAGGAGAGAGGGGAGGAGAGGGACGAGGAGATGGGTGGGGAGATGGAGGGGGCACGGAAGGGGGTGTGGGAGTGGGAGGGGAGGTGGGAGGGGTGGATGAGATGGAATGGCTACTGCAGGAGATGATAATGATGCATGGGAGTGCTAGTGGTGCTGCCGCCATCCTTGACGGCAATCCTGGCACAGATGCTGGTACCGCTGATGGCACTGGTATCGCAGCTAATGCATATGCTGCTGCTCTTGACGCGTGTGGCTTGGCTGAGGGGGATGCTTGCCTAGACGTTGACATGGGGATGGGGATGAGTGAGGGAGAGATGGGCATGGGTATGGGAGGAAGAGGGGATGGGGAGGAGCAGGGTGTATTGATGGGTGGAGAGAGGTGGGGAGGTATGGATGTCATGGATGGTGCAGGTGGAATTGATGGGATTGGTGGGATGGGGGGGATGGATATGGCGGAAGAAATGGGTGGTAGTGCAGACGGGATGGGGGAACGAGGAAGGGGTGCTGCTGCTGCTGGTGGTGCCAGCGGTGGTGCTGCTGCAGCTTCTACTGCGGATGGTGCTGCTGGTGCTGGTGGTGCCAGCGGTGGTGGTGGTGCTGCTGTGAGTAATGCGTTGAGGTTGGCAGAGAACGCCACTCTCCAGATGCTGCTGCAGCGCTGCAACGGAGACCCTGCTGCTGCTGCTCTGCTGCTCGAGAACCTGCTGCTGCAGAAACAGAAGGAGCATCATAATCATCATCATCATCAGCAGCAGCAGCAGCAGCAGCAGAGGGGAGGCATGGGTGGGAGCTCACGGCCAGGCATAGTCAAGTCAACCTCACACTCCCAGCCCTCCCGCACACTCCACGCCCTGCACTCTTCCTCCTCCCCTCCTTCCGCATCCCCCTCCTCTGCCTCCCCCCCACATGCACTCCCCCATGCACCCCCACATGCATCCGCGCATGCCCCCCCCCTTCCCCCCATCCATGGATCCGTGCACCCCCTGCCCCCCTCACACTCCCGCGCCCTCCCAGCAGTTCCCCTCCCCCGCCCCGCCTCCCGTTTCTTCCCCAAATCCGCCTCTCTGCCTGGAAACCTCCCCCGTCCCCCCCCACCTGCTGCTGCTGCTGGTAGCGGCGGTGGTGGTGGTGGTGGGGTTGGGGGGGAACGGATTGCTGCTAGTCCACTAGGTAGGCAACTGGTGCAGCCGGTGCTGCAGCAGCAGCAGCAACGGCAGTTATTACAGCAACAACAGCAACAACGTCAACAGTTGCTGGATCAGCAGCAGCAGCAGATGGTGCAGCAGCTGAGACAGAAACAGGCCGCACTGCAGATTCAGCAGGTGCAACAGCAGCAGATGCAACAACAGGTGCAACAGCATCAGCAACAGCAACAGCAACAGCAGCAGCAACAGCAACAGCAGCATCAAGAGCATGAATGTCTATCTATGGAAGAGCAGCAGCAGCAGGATCTTGTACTAAGTTATTTGGTATCCCGCAAGCAAACTCCCGATGCTACTGCTCAGTCCCTGGTCGCAAGCCTTACCCCTGCAGCCCGTGCTGACCTGCTGTCCCAACTGCTGCTGGAGCAGAATAGACCGGCAAACACGCCGTTAGGAGCACACGCACATGCACAAGCACAGGCACAGGCACAGGCACAGGTCGAAACACAGGTACACGTGGCAGAAGCACGTGTGGCAGGGGCACAGGAACTTAAAGCACGGAACGGTGGGAGTATGGATCGAGGAACCTTCCACCAACCGTGTGAGGAAGCTTCCTTATCTGAGCGACTGGATTGTGATGGTCAAAGTTCCGCTGAAACACTGGGCGTCGGGTTTGGCTATCCCGATCCTAAGGGGCGCAGTGCTTCCGAACCTGGATCTGCAGGTTGGGACAAGAGAGGGGGAGTCGGTGCCGAGCTCGACGGTGCGGGTTGGAGAATCGGAGAGGGCTTGATGCAGCATCAGAATATTTATGAAGCAGGAGGAGGTGTTGCAGCAGCAGCAGCAGCAGCAGCAGCAGGAGGAGGAGCAGGAGGAGGAAGAGGAGGAGGAGGAGCGGCAGCAGCAGCAGCAGCAGAAGCAGAAGCAGCAGCAGGTGCCGGAATGGCAACAGCAGCAGCAATAGGAGAACTAGAAGCGGAACTAGCAGCAACAGCAGTAGCAGGAGCAGTAGGAACAGAAGCAGGGCCTGTGTTTTCTCCTGGACCAATAATCGCAGGAGACTTTTCAGGTGTACAGGGCGGACTAGACGTGCTTATAGAGGGCGGTGCAGCCAGCGATTTTCAAATGGCTGCTCCTGACGGCGTGGGAGGGTTGATGGGGACAGGGATTGGGATGGGAGGAGAGGAGGAGTTGGGAGAGGAGTGGGCCATGTTCCTAGATGTGATGGATGCACCACCAATACTGGATGATTTGGATGAGGTGAGTCGGAGGGGTGGGGAGGGCGGGTGAGGAGGAGCTCGGAGATGAGCCATGTTCTTAGATGTGATGGATGCACCGCCGATGCTGGATGTTCTGATCAGTTGAGAACTTTTGAAGCATGCATGACCTTCTGAAAGGTGGTTCTTGGATTTCATGTGTGCATTGTCAGTGTTTTAACTATGTGGATGAGATGAGGTGAGTGAGCGGGGTCAGGAGGGGTGTGGAGGAGTTAGGCGAGGAGTGGGCAATGTTAATAGATGTGATGGATGCACCACCAATACTGGATGATTTGGATGAGGTGAATAGGAGGGGTGGGGAGAGGGGTGAGGAGGAGTGAAGAGGAGTGAGGATGAGGGGTGAGGACGGGTGGGAGAAGTGAGAGGTAGGGGTGAGGTAGAGGAGGGGTAATCGGAGGGAGAGGCTGTTAGGGATGAGAAGGTGCTTGGTAGCCTGGTGCCATTTGGGTGCTTGCTTTCATGGGTGCTTGCTTTCATGGGTGCTTGCTTTCATGGGTGCTTGCTTTCATGGGTGCTTGCTTTCATGGGTGCTTGCTTTCATGGGTGCTTGCTTTCATTGGTGCTTGCTTTCATTGGTGCTTGGCGTGTGAGTGGCCTGCTGAGCGGGTCAGCCATCAACCATCCCTGTCTCTCTACCGGTCATTTCATCAACTCATCAACCCAGCTTCTTGTTCTGGGGGTGTGTCTCTTGCTGATCTGTTGATTGCCGTGCCACTCTCCATGTTCGCTGTCCCATGTGTTCAAAGGCGATTTGTTTCCTAAAGATAACAGTAAGAGGTTCGACTTACTGCACTGCACCTGCACTCGTTCCTTTCAGGTGATGGGCTCCACTATTGCATGACTCGCTACACTTTCGCTGCATATTTGAAGCTGGTACAGGGACATGGTCTTCGCAGGTTACGCCATAGGCTGAGAGAAAAAACATGGTACAACATCGCAAGGGTATCGCGTTGCATGGCCTCTCGTGTCACACATGTCACCTTCCCCTAAAAAGTGCTAAGCGTGTACATTGGGGAGGAGTAGGCATATGTTTGTCATAATATTGAATGGACCTTTTTAGTCCTCGACTTTCCAGTATCTATTAGTGATTGGCTCTAGACTCGAACAGGGTGTTCCACAAAAAATATGCAAGTGTGATGCATGTGCTGATGTCGGAAAACAGATTTGTTCATTTGCTCACCCAACCAGGTTCCGCATATGCTTCCATCCACGTTTGTTTTTCTAGTTTTCTGGTGTCTGGGAGGGTCCGTCGTGTGCGGGCCCTCCCAGCCGTGCTGGTGGTTGTGTGTGTTTTCATAGAGAGCTCCCTGTTGGGCTGAGTGCCCCTTAGGATCTTTGGTAGGGTTAAACTCTGGGTAGAGTGATGTAGTAGCGGAAGCGTTTAAATGAAGTCCTTGAACCACCTTGCGCTAGTATGTGAGGGCAAAGTAAGTTGATTAAAACAAGCAAGTACAAAGGTTTATATAAGAGTACAAAGAATACGAAGAGATATAATTAAATTGTTTTACTGTTGCGGTTCGATACAGTGCGACTCGGGCAACTGCTCAATGTCGAGTCAGTTGTGTGTCCTTGCTGTCGCGCTGCATTTGTCAAGTCAAAGGTCGCTGACCTTTGACTTTCGCGTAACCTCCAGCGGTTACTTCAACCTCCGAGGGTTGACTCGCTGGTGCCTCGATATGCTCTGCTTCGCTTGTGCCTTGGTGTTTCGACACGACAGAGGCGCTTAAGATTGTTTGTTCCCAACACTCCCCTTCGCTTCAGGAGTGTCGCTGCTGGTGACGTGGCTTTGTCCAGTCAGCAGCATGCAGAACTCGAACTTCTGTTTTCCGAGCTTCTTGGTCAAGTAGTCAGCTGCCATCTCGGACGTGGGACAGTAGGATAGTTCAAGTCTCCCCTTCTCAATCTCGTCTTTCACGAAGAAATATCGCAGAGCGATATGCTTCGTTCTGTTCGCGAATCCATTTTTGTTGGCGATGCGAATTGCAGATTGGTTGTCGCAGAACAGAGTGAAGTTGGGTAACTCGGCTAACTTCGCTTCTTCCAGCAGCTCGCGAAGATAGTCCTTCCTTGGTGGCTGAGCAGAGTGCAATATATTCTGCTTCAGCTGACGAGAGAGCAATTAATTCCTGCTTGCTCGATTGCCAGGAGATCGGTCCGATAGGTTCGAGGCGGTAGATGTAGCCGGTGCGGGAGCGCCTGTTGTCGGAGTCGCCAGCGTGATCAGCGTCGACGTAGCCGATTAATTTAGTCGGTGTAGTTGTGTTCTTGTAGTAAGTTAGGCCGATCGTTGAGGTACTGACGAAGTAGTGGAGAGCGCGGTCGAGCTCCGCCAGGTGTTCTGCTTCAGGCTTCTTGAGGTAGGTGGCGAGCTGGCTTGCGGAGTATGAGAGGTCGGGGCGGCAGGTGACAGCTGCGAAGAGAAGGCATCCTAGCTTTCTCTGGTAGTCGCGTATCCCGGCGGATTTGAGTAGAGAGGATCCTTCCTTGTGGTTTCCTGTCGCGTAGCGGTAGGGCGTAGAGATGGTGGTAGGTGTGAGCGCGAAGCGTTTGGCGATGGTGTCGGCGTACTTAGCGGCGTTGAGGTAGATCGCGCCTTCTTCTTCCCGAATGTTCAAGCCGAGGTACTGTGTGACGGTAGAGGAGACCGTGAGTGTGAGGTCCCTCTGTAGCTCCCCTTCGAACCAGGTGGTGATGTCGTCAGTGGAGCCGATGTAGAGTAGGTCGTCTACGTAGACGATCAGCAGAATGTAGTCGGTGTCTTTAGTGAGTCGGTACATTCCTTGGTCGTGAGGTAGTTGGCGGAATCCGATGCGAATGAGGCGAGCGTGTAGGTACTGTTGCCATAGCCGCGGAGCTTGCTTGATCCCGTAAAGTGATTTCAGCAGTTGACAGACTTGGTTAGGCCGTTGGTACCGTGTGGGAGCTCGACGAAGATTTCCACGTCGACAGGTGCGTAGAGGAACGCGTTGGCGACATCGATTTGCCGTAGCTTCCTTTTCTTCATGGCGGCGATCGCGAGGAGGATTCGAAGTGAGGTATGTCGGCTAACCGGGGCGAATGTCTCGGTGAAGTCCCGTCCGTGCTCCTGATCGAATCCACGCACAACCCAGCGTGCTTTGAACTTCTCAATTGTGCCGTCTGCTTTTGTTTTAACGCGGAAGACCCATTTCCCGGTGAGAATGGTCTTGTTCCTTGCCACGCTGATGGGGACAACTTTCCAGGTGTTCCGTTCCTCCAGCGCCTTTAACTCTCTGTCCATGGCTTCACGCCATTTTTCCCTGTGTTCCCCCCCCAGAGCCTGCTGAACCGTCGCAGGCTCCTTAGGAAGAGTGTTGCCGTGGACTGCGGTGACGAGTCCGAGAATCTGCAGTCCAGTCTGTGAGTAGCGGGGAAGAGTTGCATCCTCGGGATAAGCTGCTTCATCTCCCGCTTCTGGATCAGGTATGAAATTCGGTCCTACTCGTTCTGCTTCGTTGGTGTTGACTGTCGCAGGTGTTACGTAACCGTTGTCGGCGAAGTAGTAGAAGGTTACGGCGTTGACACTTTCGCGAGGGTTATCTTCGTCCATGGGGACGTCGACGGAGCAGAACGGAAGGGGTCCAGCTTCTTCTGATGCGTTGGCCACATTCTGCTCGTCCCAGTCAGCTTCGTCTGCTGCCGAGGCGAAGGCTCGGTCACCACGAAAACCACCTGTGGGATCTTGGTCCTCTTGCAGGTTGGCAAGGTATGTCTGGAGCGTGAGTCGTTCGTAGAAAATGACGTCGCGTGCTGCTACTGTTTCCTTGGAGTGGACGTCAAAGATTTTCCACGCGTTGTAGTTCTTTTCGATGCCGAGGTGTAGTCCCCACTGTGCGCGTTGTGAAAATCGGCCCGCTCGTGCTGCTGGGGGTCGGTACTGTACCATGCATCCGAACACTCGTAACATTTTTGTGCTGCCCTGTTTTCCTGTCCACAGCAGATGCGGTGATGCGTTGTTCGGTAGTGATGAAGATGAGAGCAAGTTGTGCAGCATGACAGCGTGGTCCATCGCGTCAGGCCACTGGTGGTTGGGTAGCCGCATGCCACGCAACAGTTTGCGCATGCTGTTCTGCAGAGTCCTGTTCATTCTTTCTGCTACACCTTGCTGCTGATGGGCGTAGGGAAGAGAGAGGAGCTGCTTGATTCCCCTTTCCGCCAGGTACTGCTTGAATCGCTGAGAGGTGTATTCTCCTCCTCCGTCAGACTGGAAGCTTTTCAGCTTTACGCCCGACTCTCTTTCTGCTACTGGTAGCCAAGCAGCGAATGCTTCGAGGACCATGTCGCGGCTGGGTAGGTTTAGATGCCAGACGTAACGGGTGGCGGCGTCGATGAAGGTGATTGTGTAGTTGTATATTACTTGTCCTGGTTCCCGATTGTACAGGATGTCGCTATACACCTTTTCGAGTGGTGCGTACGCGGGTGTGCTCGGGTTGTGATGAGGAGTGAACGGCCGATGTGGTAAGTCGGCTTCGGGGCAGGTAAGACATTTTCCTCGTGCCCGTTGAAGTTCTCTGCCGTCGAGTAGTAGTAACGAGTCCTTGTCAAGGACTCCTGCTCTTATTGTGTTGTTTAACACAGTGTTGCTTGGGTGTCCCATGCGTGCGTGCCAGATGTCTTCGGAGGCGCGGTGTCCGGGTGAGCGTCGATACGCGTCGGAGTTGGAGTAGAAGCTGGCGGTGAAGTTTGCGCTTCTATGGACTTCCCGTTGAGCCGGATTCAGCTGCTGTGCGGGTGTTGGTGGTGCTTCGTCAACGAGGAGTGGTGTCGTTGTTGCTGCTACTGTTGTTGTTCCTGCTACTGCCGATGATGTCTCTGCTGCTGCCGATGATGTCTCTGCTGCTGCCGATGTTGTCTCTGCTGCTGCCGATGTTGTCTCTGCTGCTGCCGATGTTGTCTCTGCTGCTGCCGATGTTGTCTCTGCTGCTGCCGATGTTGTCTCTGTTGCTGCCGATGTTGTCTCTGCTGCTGCCGAATGTTGTATTGTTACTAACGCACGTGTTCGTTCTGCTTCAGGAATGGTATGTGAATACCAAAAGCCTTCCGGACTGAAGTCGGGGTCGAGATCCGGCGGGTGCGTCCAAGATGTGAAGGTGACGATCCCGTCACTGTCTGCGGTGCCCAGGTCTGGGACGAAATCGAGAACGAAGACATTGTTCTTCAGGACCGCCTTTCCGATGTAGAGGCCGCCCTTCCCGTGGTACAGCTTGAACTCCTGGGTGGTACTGTCGGCTTCCAGATGTATGCCTTTCGCCATCAACTGACTCACGCTCAGTAAGTTGTAGCCAAGTCCTTCTGCTATTAG